GCTCACTGCTGGTACCCCTAGTGCTCACTGCTTGATACTCCTAGTGCTCACTGCTGGTACTCCTAGTGCTCACTGCTTGATACTCCTAGTGCTCAATGCTGGTACTCCTAGTGCTCACTGCTGGTACTCCTAGAGCTCACTGCTGATACTCCTAGTGCTCACTGCTTGATACTCCTAGTGCTCACTGCTTGATACTCCTAGTGCTCACTGCTGGTACCCCTAGTGCTCACTGCTGGTACTCCTAGTGCTCACTGCTGGTACTCCTAGTGCTCACTGCTGGTACCCCTTAGTGCTCACTGCTGGGTACTCCTAGTGCTCACTGCTGGGCACCCCTGGTGCTCACCATAGGATACCCTGGTGCGCACTGTGGGGCACACTAGTGCTGACTGAGTGGTCCCCTACTCTGCTACAGAGCCCAGTGGGGACCTTGTGCCCCAGGGCAGAGCTGCATCTGCCTGAGAGGTTCTGATCCACACAAAGGCACTGTAAGGGCGAGTGGAGCCAAGCCAGGAGGGATGGAAAATTGGAGGCCCTCCCGCAAGCACACACCCCACTGCTCCCTGTGGAGGGGTGCTTCTGAGTCCAAGTGTCCTGCCCCCCGACCCCCTCCTCACCACTCTCCCAGTTGAGGTACTTGAGGGGCGAGTTGTCCGACCACTGCCAGCCGCCACTGGTGTCCAGGTCATTGAGGCCGATCCACAGTGTGGAGCTGTAGCCTGTGAGGAGCCCTGAGAGCAAGGGAGGCCGAGACCTTCCGTCAGCTGTTTCCCCCTCCCCGCCAAGTGCCCCAACCCAGCATCCTCACGCCCACGGAGAGGGGGCTGCCCCGGCCTCACCGTTGATGTATGTCTGCTCGTGGATCTCAGTGATGCTCAGTAGGTCCGCCCCCTGCTGCTCGCAGCTGGCCCAGGCCTCTCTCCATGACAGCGTGGACTGGAAGTTAAACTGGTAGCAGCTGTCAGTCAGCTGGTCCTTGTCCCAGAAGGTCTCACAGTCATTGCCTGCCACCAAGACGGCCAGGCATGGGTCCCTCCCCTCCAGGACCCACGTGGGCATCCCTGGGGGAGTGCAGAGAGGCCCCACCCCACCCACACAGACTCCCTCCTCCAGCCCCTGCCCACCCTGCTCAGCACACATCTCCCCGCCCTGCCGGCACTCACTCTTGATGGGGCAGAAGCCCCAGCGCTCCTCCTTGCCGTAATCCTGGGTGGTGGCACACCACAGGTGGCCATCCTCGCGGCCAGTGCTGGTGCAGCTGTGGAACCACTGGTTGTCGTACTTGAAGGGGATGGTGCACGGCTTCCCGTGGGAGTTCCCCTGGATGGTGTAGACCTCTGTGGGGACGGGAGCCAGGCCTTGGCATCTGGAGGCTGCCCACCCCCTTGTCCCTCAGGAAGAAAAGCCCCTATAGCCGGGATGGCAGCAGACAGGGGCCTTATGGGCCCTGGGGTCAGCCTCGGAGCCTGCCAGAGGGTCCCTGCTCGTCCCCAAGGGCTGCAAGCTGTGTCTGCAGGCCAGCTGGGCACAGCAGGCTCCACGCAACACCACAGAGGGCTGAGCTCAAGGGACTCCCTGGCCAGCCCCAGCCCCGGGGCCCTACCTCTCCATGTGCTTGTGCCCGCCGCCCTGATACACATGCCTATCCCAGTACTCAGTGTGGCTTCCAGGAAAGGGGCCCCAGGACCACGGGTGCCCAGCACAAGAGGCCTCTCCCTGGGGGGGCTCTAGCCCTCATTTACCACCTGAGAAACGAGGGAGGGGCAGAGTTCCCCTGATGCATCCCCTGGGGAGTGGTCCCCGCGAGGGACCACATTTAATTTACTTAATGCACTTAAGTACACCATTTGGAGTCTTCACCAATGTCCATTAGTTTGGCAATTACAAGATTAATTCTTTGAAGTTAACTTTTCCTAATTCTTCAAGAATGTGCCTTATTAGAGTTACAGCTGGGCCTTCCCAGGGTCTGTGGGAGGTCAAAGGGCCCATTTCCCCAGAGCCTGTCCTTCCATGCCTCCAGTCCCCTGCACCAACCCCCAGGGTAAGGTGACCAGATTTTAACATTGGTAAAGCGGGACACCACTGATAAAACTCATATCCTGGCGAAATAGCCACATGGCAGCCGAAAACCGTATACCCTAGCTTGTCGTGCATTCTTTCCAAAAATGGGGACTTTTTTAAAACGACGTGGGACGGGGGACAAATTGTTAAAAATCGGGACTGTCTCGCCAAAAGCGGGACATCTGGTCACCTTATCCCAGGGGCACCTCCCCACCCCTGCCCCGACAGAGCAGCCCCTCACCATAGTAGGGCCGAGCACACAGATCCTCGTCGCTGTTGTAGATGCGCCACTGGCCGCTGCGGGTCTGGTCACCTCGCTCATGGGTGCCAGCCTTGGTGACGTTGCTTGTGCGGCCCCCCAGGAACAGGGACAGGTGGTCCCCCAGTGTGCGACAGTGCCAGCGCAGGTTCAGCGCCTCCCGGTCACACTCGTACATGCCCAGGGAGGCTGTGGTGTTGGTGCCCGGCCAGCCTGTGCCAAGGCACTGCATGGCACCTAGGTTGAAGAGTCGATTTCGAGAGACCCACTTCCAGCGCTGGGCAGGGAGACTGGCATTGCAGGCAGGTGAGACTCTGACCTGCCCCCCTTGGGCCTCGAGGCAGCCCTGCAGGCCATGGCTGAAGATGAGGAAGACGTTGGGTTCTGAAAAGGAAAGGTGGGACCGATAAGGCCACAGACCCTGCCCACCTGCCCGCCCGGGGCTTCTCTCCGTGGGCCAGGGGGTTCCAGCCTGCCCACTGACCTTTGGGGTGGCCTGGGGGCTATGGTTATCAGCCTGCACTGGATAGGGTGAAGCCTGCAGGGCTAGCCTCTGGCCTTAGCCTCACGCCCACCTGGAGACAGGACTCAGACCCCTGCCCCACCCAAGAGCAAACCCAATTCCACTGGCAAACTGGGCATGAGAGAATCAGCCTTCCGAAGAGCTGATGGGGGCACATGTGCCTCATCTCCCCTCTGGCCTCTCAGATTCCCAGACTCAACCTTCCCTCCCAACCGTCCCACCCCATCACCATTTCACTCAGGCTTGACACGGAGCCTTTTAGCTCCTGGGTGGCTAGGGCAGCGTGGCAGGCGGGTCTGCTATGGAATGGGGTTCCTTTTAGGGATGTGGGTGCCTCTATGCAAAGGCACTTGGTTGTAGCCGTCGAATAGGTGAGCTTTATGATACAGGAATTGACATCCCCCGCAAGCTGGTACAAAAAGAAACAGGAGCTTAGCGGCAGGAGCAACCTGGTCAGGAACGCACAGCAAACGTCCCCAAAGGCCATGCTGGTGACATCCCTGCTCTCCCACCCGCCTTTTGTCCCTCGGCTGCCACTTAAGTGCACATATGGACAGCATATTCCATCAGCCGCTGGCTCCTCTGGCTGACTTCCATGCCTTAAACGTGGGACTCAGACTGAAGCAACACAAGACTCACTGCCATTGAGCGGATTCTGACTCCTAGCAGGGCTCTCGAACCAAGAACTGGCCCAGAAACCTTGGCGTAGTGGTGACACCTGGGCTCAAGGTCGGTAGTTTGACATCGCCAGCCGCTCCTCAGGAGAAGGAAGGGGCTCTCTGCTCTTGCCCATAGTTACAGCCTCAGAAACTCCCGGGCGGCTCTGCGCTGCCCTATATGACTCACTGGCATCGACTCGTTGGCAGTGAGTTTGGAGTTTTTTGGAGACTGGCCCCAGTGGGTATTTCAGGCTATAAATCTTTGCAGGGATAGAAAGCCTCCTCTCTCTCTCCTTGGGGTAGCTGGTGGATCTGAACCACCGACCTAGTCATTAGCAGCCTAACTTGTAACTCACCACATAACCCTCCTGCTGAACCAGGCTGCTAGTTTCAATCTCAGCTCTGCCACTTCACGTGTGACAACATCCTTAACCTCTCTCCGAGCACCCTCAGCATTAGACGGCCGTGACAATTACATGAGAAAACATGGAACGTGTCTGGGGCAGGCATGTTCTGGCACACAGGAAAAGTACCATAGATGCGTCTCCTTCTTCCATGTGAAAGGGACAGAGACGGAGCCCGGGCAGCGCGGCAACTGGACCAGTGTTAGAATGCTGGTAAGGGAACAGAAATGAAACACCCTAGTCTCCTGAGTCTAAAGCCCAAGCCCTTTCTGATTAGCCATGCTGAAGTCTTGGTGATGTATGCGTGTATGTTGGGCTGCTAACCACAGGTTAGTAGTTTGAACCCACCAGCAGCCCCTCAGGAGAAAGAGGAAGCTACCTGGTCCGTAAAGACGCACACCTCCTGAAACCCCCAAGGGCAGTTCTACTCTGTCCTACAGCATCACGAGGAGTGGAATCTGACTTGCTGGCAGTGGGGTTAGTTTTTGTTTGGTTTAGCTGGCTTATCTCTGTAGGCATCAGATATATCTTTAAAATGTAAGTTATTACTAGAAAAAAAATTATTAGATATTTTCCTTTTTAATAATACGCAAGTGTTGAAGGGCATAATGAAGAAAAGTAATGAATTCAGTGACCAGGATTGAGATTTTTTTCATAACAAAAAACTGCCACAACCAAAGTAAATATGCAAAAGGAAAATAATAAGTAGGAAAAGCCATCATACAAAAAGCTACCGCCCCTCCCCCCCCAACAAATGATAAATTATAAGGAAAATATCAGTAACTCAGTGGAAAAAAGAGTAAGAGACATTTATCTATAACCCCAAAGCCAAAAACCTGCTGCCAACAAGTTGATGCTGACTCATAGCACCTCTGGGTAGGGCTTCTGAGACTAAATCTACAGAGTAGACTGCCCCGTTCTTTCTCCCTCGGTGGTTTGAACCACTGACCTCCAGGTCAATAGTCCGATGCTTACCAAACAGCACCACCGTGAAATCTAATTGATCCTTAAATGTTTGAGATTACAGCCTCACTCACAGTAAAAGTACACACACACACACACACACACACACACACACACACACACGTCAAGTAAGTCTCTCTCCTGCTTAAACTCCTTCAAAGGTTTCATACTCAAATGAAATCCAAACACTTTACTGTGGGGTACAAGTTCCAGTGATCTATCTGGTCCTTCCCATCTGATCTCACAGGGTATGACCGCCCATTGCCCTGCCATGTTGGCCTCTTTACTATTCCCCTCCCCACCCCACCCCCAACAGACTTGGCTCCTCTGTCTGGCACTTCAGTCTTCAAAGTAAATGTCATTGCTTTCAGCAAGGGCCTACATGACCTCCTAACCCAAATGTACTACACCATTACTCTTTAAGAAATCACTTTACTTATCACATCCCTGATTTTCTGGATTTCTTTTTTCGTTCTTTCCAACGTCTGGGTCATCTCTGAGTCTGTCTGTTGTGACTATTTTTTTCTTTTGATGACAGGTCACATTCTGCTGCTGCTTCCATGACCAGTAATTTTTACCGAGCACTGTGGGTAGCCTGGATTTTTAAAATATCTTATTATTGTACACTGGGCCTTGTGGATGACAAGTTTCAGAGAAGCTGGTGGTTGGGTTTTTTGGTTTTACATTCCAAGAAGAACGTTGCGTCTGGTTGTGGCAGTTCAGTTACTGGCGGATCATCTTAAGCCTACGGAGGATCTGTCTTAGGCTCTGTTAGGGTGGAGTTGCTTTGATTTCTCCCCGAGTCTGTGGGTGTGGCCCCCTTCGCCCTGGATCTGTTCACAAGGTGAGGCTTTTCAAATTTCAAAGGAAAACCTGAAGCAATCCCCCTCACTGCCATCAAGTTATTCTGGCTCAGAGAACTGACACTGTGGGCTTCCGAGAGCACACGGCTTGGTTAGAATAAAAAGCCTCATTTTCCTCCCTCGGAGTGGCTGGTGGTTTCAAGCTGCTAACCTTGGGGTTAGCAGTCCAACTCGTAACCCACTCTCCCCTCTACCGTGAGCGAATTTAAATTGCAAAACGGTGCTAGGTAGGAACTGAAATCCGTTTCTTGCTGGGTTCCTCACGTGCTCACTGCACGCATGGAGTCTCCAAGGGCACTGGGAGAATGTGAGAGAGGTCATTGCAAAGGTGAAACTGAGGTACAGGGAGACAGGTAGTCATAACTAACAGACCAAGGGAGAGCAGAAACAGAAATAGCTTTGGGGGGGGGGGGCGCTCCCAGACAAGGGTTCATGACCCAGGCCAACAGGTCAGGGAAGTTGTGCTCAGCAGCTGGGGGCGAGGGTTTTTAAAGGGGTGGTGAGGAATGTATGGCAATTAGCATATGGGGTCCGGACACTCCAAGAATTGCTTGTCGACTCCTTGCGGCTTTCTTCAAACCTGGAACATCTGGTTTCACTGGTTATCTTATCTGGCGGTTATCTTATCTGGCGTCCTCTGCTGCTGACCTTTGGGATGTGCAGGGAAGCACATGCAGGGCCCTGACCTGCTTCAGCTTAGACCAGACAGGGCTGCCTAGGTCGGACCCGGCCCAAACATTCCACACTTCTTAATAGTGGTTATGGACGGCTGATGGTCTTAACTACTTCCTGCTGAGATAGGGCGAAGAAGGGGGCGATTAAGAGTTGGAAGGTTTGGGCCAGGTCTGTGGGCAGCGGACTGTAAGAGTGGAGAAGATGCTAATTGAAGGTGAGGTTGGAGATATTTTTCATTCATTCCTGCAAAAATTTAAACACACACACGGAGCCAGAAGTAATAGTACACAGATTATTATCAGAGGTCTTACGAGGCGCATGATCCAGGTCATGACAGGACTTTGAAACCACAAGGAAGGGCTGGTGGTGCCCCACTGATGGTTTTTAATTTTTTCGGCCATGTTGTGGAGCGCTTTAACATTTTTTTTAACTACTTTCGACTTATTGGTATAGTGTATGTACCTTTTTGCCAGCTGTTAACAGATTTAATGCATGACAGTTCTGAAGGGTTACCTGTGCCAGGGATGTAAGCTGTCGCTGTAAGGAGGTGAGAGACTCTGAGGTGGAGTCTGAGTAGCTGGAGGTGTTTGTTAAAGTTCTGTGTTTGGAGCATGCTGTGCTCTAACGCTCTATTAGAAATCTTGGCCGCTGCCAGGGAGGAGGCAAAACTAAGGTTTACTAGGACAGGTAGGAATACAGCTACGCTTTGCCTTACTAGCCCTGATTTGTTACCATGATAACGCATTCTTTAGCTGTCGCTGCAGGGAGGCTAGAGAGACCGGGATGGGTTAGGAATGCTGTTCTTCTAGACCTTTGGGTGGGAGTAACCATGCGGATTCATACTGACCACATAGGATGAGTTGAGGAACTATATGCAGTAACTGGAAAACAAGGTCCTGCTGTGGAAACATTTGCACATTTAGTTATTTGCTCAGCCGAAGCTGGTGTTTGGAGGTCCTTTATGATCCAGCATCTATCTATAGTAAACCCTGAGTGGTGGGGGTGAGGCATAGGCCTGAACAGATAATCACGGAATGAGATAATGGTGCCTTGGAGGGAGAGAGAAGTTGGGCTGTGTTTGCTTTAGAACTGTTTTAGGAGGGGCTGCAGGTAAAGGCAAAGGAATGCTGACAAGCTGGGTTAAGGGGGGTGGTGAAAAAGGTATAGTGGAGGGGGGAATGTGGGACAAAAGAGTATAGGGGTTGGGAGCTACCAGGTGTATGGGGATAACAGCTTTGTTAATGAGGCACAGGTCCTGGGCCAAGCGATAAGCACCATTTGGTTTCTTACTGGTAAG